TTATTATTATTATTATTATTATTATTATCATCATCATCTTTCATTTGAATATTTTTTAAGCTAACTTCATAATTTTATTAAAATGTCAGGAAATTCTTTAAACTTTTAATTAGACAATAAAAAGCAGGAATTCTTTTTTTTACTGGTAAAAGAAATACAAATGTCAGAACAACTAAAATCTGCTTTTTGTTTTGCTTCACCTTCAGTAATAAATTAAGTCAAACTAAAAAGGTGCAGCAAAAGCTCACATATCATGTTTGAAACGATTGATGAAAGTTGACATTTAACAGATACGGGAGAAAGTACTCTGTGTTCACACTCTTTCAAAGTGTTTTATGTACCAAGACAAAATGATCTTTACCAGGTTCTGAAATTATTTAAATCTAACCTCAGGTGTATAAAAACACACCACAGATTCAACCAAGCCATTATTTATTATACAAAAATTGCTGTGTGGGATGTAAGCAAGTCCAAATAATTTCACCCTTGGATTAAAGGAGCTGCTGAGATGTATTTTAACACAATGAACAGGAGGAAAGACATCAACAACGGCCTTAGAAAAGTGACTGTTGCTGCCAAGTCATCTGGGGAAAGGTTGGAGGTTATTTACAAAAAACGTGGAGTCCATCATCCTGCAGGAGTGGCTTCCCAGCAAATTTACACCAAAGTAAAAAAAAAAACAAACACCAGAGCCTCTACAGGCCTCAGTTAACAGGCTGAGTTTAAATTTCATCACAGGACAAGTAGAAAAAACAATAAATATGACTGATTTGAAAAGTTACAGGAAAAACCCTTTTCTCTCTACAAATAACGAGGGAGCATACCTCCTGGAACAATGTCCTCTGGACAGACAAGACAAGACATGTTTACCTATAATGGCCGGTGCCATGTGTGGAGAAAAGCCAAGCATGCATTTCTGCGTCTCATACACCATCAAGCGTGACGGTGGAAGAGTGACAATCTGGGCTTGTTTTACAGCCAAATGACCATAAAGGCTTCGAATCGCCCAAAAACTCCTCTGTAGCCCAAATGAATCTAGACTCAAATCAGAGGCCATCTGTCCAACAGCTGAAGTTTGGACCAAACTGGGTCATGATGCAACACAACAGTGATCCTAAAGACCGCAGCTAATCTACAACAGAAGAACATCTGAAAAAGAAAAGTGTTGCAATGGTCCAGTCAAAGTCCAGAACCTCAATCTGATTAAAATACTTTGGCTGGACGTTAGGTGAGCTGTGCAGAAACAATGTCTGCAAACTTTAGTGAACTGAAGTGATACTGGATTTAAGAGCGGACCAACATTTCTGCACAACCATGTGAGAGAGTGATTGAATCATGTGAAAAGCACTAAAATTGGGTAGGAGGTTCAACAAGCTGTTGAATCTTAAGATGGACTTAGTTTTCCCACACACCAATGTGGACTCATGTAGGCCTGTATTTGTCAAACCTCGCTGAGTGGAATTTTAGCCTTAAATGCTGAAAATTTCTTAGATTTCCTCCTACTCTCAGACTTAAGTGTAAATGCCTGTTAGCAAAATTCTTCAGTCTAAGAATCACGCTTACTCTCTGGAAAAGTTAAGACTGCTCCAGTGAACAATTTTCATGTTTAGCTTTGCATTCAATAACCAAATAATCACTTACAGAGGGTCTTGAAGGTGACTCTTTGAATAGCTGTTCCTCTAAGGAGAGGAGCCTTTCCTCCAGGTGCTGGTTCCGTAACATCAGAATCTCCATGGCGTCATCACGAGGTAAAGCTTGCTGTTGTCTGTGTGTTTGATAAGTACAAAAAGACTTTGCTGTGTATCACATTGCATTTTAACAGCTGTGTCAATAAAGAATTGTTTATTTTTTATAGATATCATCCGTAAAGCGAGGAGCTGAAATTTGTTACCGGTAACTTTCAAACAAACGTGTACCATTACTGGTATACATTACAGTGTATACTGGTTTAGATAACTAAACTGTAGGACAGAGATACTTGTATAAATAAAGATCACTTTATGTGTTTTCTTTCATCATCTTTCAAACCTGCACCGACTCGTCTCCAGTCTCGGACCCACATAGACGGGTATTATAGATATGCTTTTATTTCTTTTCACAATTTGTTTTAAATCTGGGCCTTTCGTCATATATAATATTACTCCACCACTGTTGACACCAGAAGATAAGGGGGTTCGAGCAACCTGCTCCTGAAACCCAACAGTTAATCATAATAATAAGGTAACACCAAACACATAAGACTGGTGTTATGATAAGAATCATAGTTTCAGTCAAGGAAAGTTTCTAATAAACAGCTCATGATGTTTTTAAAGTTCTGTTCACCTGCTGTGGGAAACCAAATGTTTATATTTAGGTTCTCAAAATGTACAGGACTTCAGTTATGCTTTCAGAACCCACTGTGGACTGAATAAAGTAGGTTTGGAATTATTTTTCTTTAGGTAAAAGTTTATTCAGATATTCAATGTGTGATGGTGTACAGTGTGTGGTTTATGTATTATATTATATTTTCCCTATAGCTATGTCCATGTGAGCGCGTGTTTGTGACGGTAAGTTAATTATTTCATGAACCAGTGAATAAGTAATCATTGGTTTTATACCTATACTGACTATCTTTTGGTGTCTATCTATTTCAAGATGGCTACCACACCTAGTTAACATTAACCAACACAAATGGGCTCTAAATTTTTTTTGCTGTGTCTCAGTTCATGGGTTGCAGCCCATGTAGACTGCACACCATGTTGGCCAAACCCTACGTAGGCCGTAGGCCGCTAGTGTCGGCTGCATAAACAGCTGTGAAATGAGATGGCCTACTCTACATATGTTTGCGTGACCTCGTTAATAATTTAATTTTAGCTCCAGTATCAGTATTAACTTAAGTTTTTTTAACATCTCATTGCAGCAAAATTTAACCGGCCAAATTGCTAAACATACATTTAAAAACAAATTATTCGATCCATGATAAATTTCCAAAAATCTGCTGTAAAAAACAAAAAACAAACAAAAAAAAAAAAACACTCAGCCGTGTTTGTTTTCTTATTTAATTTGCTGACGATTCCATGAGTTCTGGGATACCGTTGATCGAGTAGGATACTCAGATGTAGCCTACGTTTTTGAGGTTTTGTCGACTGCATGAGGAGGCGGGGACAGCCTACAGCACGGGGCAGTGATGTAAGAAAGAGGCTGACAAATACCACCCACATTGGCTGCAACCCATGAATTGAGACACAGCCACAGAAATAGAATTTGATGGCAGTAGATAAGAGTCATTAATTCTTCATACTCTGAGAATGACATCATGTGAGGTCACACTTAATCTTATTTTCAAGATGGACCAAAATCTTTGTCTTAAAGGTAGTGGGCCATATGCATTGCTTCAAGAAATTATACCACCTTTATTACCATAGAATAGAAAAACAACTCTCACATTAAAGGGATCCCCGATTTGTTGTAACATTAGACTTTATATGATAAACATATACTTTAACTGTAAAATAAAGACTGTAAAAATACTGTAGGATGTTCAGTTTTTATAATTTTTAAACTAAAAGTTTAAAAATATGTATATTACACAGATGGGGCCATTTTATTTACATGCTAAGCATTCTGGGTAAATGATGACATCAACTAGGTCATCGGCATGAGGCTGCTAGCGAGCTATATCCACCATGAAGGTTAATCTTGGACAATATCTGATGATCGACTCTTTTAAATGAAACCAAAGAGCGTTGACAGAGAGGAGAAGGTAGAAATGACTCAGCCTGGAACTGAAAATATAGATGGAGGACAACAGAGCTGCTTCATGGAAGAAGAACCTCAGCTTAACCTGTTAGCTTTAGTGTTAGCCCCGATGCTATCACTATATATATGTATTAGCTCAGCGCTACACATTCTCCTCTCACTGAGGTCCTCCATCTACATGACAGAGAGGGGAACGCAAAAATGACTCAGCCTGCAACTGAAAATATGGATGGAGGACCTCAGTTTAGCTTGTTTGTTGTGCTAGCGCCGAGCTAATACATATAATGCAATACAGCGTGAGGGCTAGCGCGAAGGCTAACAGGCTAAGCTGAGGTTCTTCTTCCATGAAGCAGCTCTGTTGTCCTCCATCCACATTTTCAGTTCCAGGCTGAGTCATTTCTACCTTCTCCTCTCTGTCAACGCTCTCTGGTTTCATTTAAAAGAGAAAATCATCAGATATTGTCCAATATTAATCTTCAGGGTGGATAAAGCTCACTAGCAACCTTGCACCGATGACCTAGTTGATGTCATCATTTACCCAGAATGCTTTGCATGTAAATAAAATGGCTCCGTCCATGTTAAAATATATTTTAAAAAATTTACAAAACTAAACAGCCTACAGTATTTTTACAGTCTTTATTTTACAGTTAAAATAAATGTTTAACAAATAAAGTTTAATGTTACAACTAATTGTGGATCCCTTTAATATGTTCTAAATTAATATTATTGTTTCCATTTGTTCCCAATGAGTAACACCACAAACACAAACTATGTATTGTGAATAAAATAACTACAGATTTTAATACTGGCTTTTTTGTTTATTTCTAACATCGGCATGTATTCTTTGACAGGATAACAGGCATATGTTTCTCAATTTCTGATGTATTACAGAAACTAGTAACAAGGTAAAATATTAAACACAAAAGAAAATTTCTTAAAGTGTATCTGCTCGATTCTAATCTCCCTTCATTGCTCAATCTGGGCTTTCTCAAATTGACGTGGATTTCTCTGACAGAATTTCAACCGGGCCAATCAGCAAACAGAGGGAGGAGTTGTGAACGATGACGTTGATTTTCTGCGCCGTTTTAGTCTGCCTGTAGTTTAGCAATGGCAGTGGAGGAAGTGAACAAAGCCATTTAGTCGTGTTGACAAGGCTTCCAAATTAAATTAAATTTGTCTCACAAAGCCTGCAGCGCTCATTTACATCCATCTCGTTCGGCTCAGAACTTCTCTCTTCCCAGTAGTGGATGGTTGTTTACAGCGCACGCAACTTCCTGTTAGCTTCTTAACATACCTTCCGTCACAGTCAAGCTGGTGACTAAATACATCACGGCCAAACGTTAGTGACTGGGTAAAATCAGCTCCAATCATTTTAAACTTCAACGAGGTTGAACAGAGGCTGTACGAAGCAAAGCGAAGAACAAGGGGCTGGTTTTTACCAGGCTACAAAAATTAGGCAAATGACAAAAGTTCAGAAATTTCTCATTTTAAAATGCATCACAAGGTAGACTCGAACAATTCTTCATTAATGCAGACATAATAAAGACATTTTTCAATCTACATAAAAGCATATTATACAAATGTAGTGACTGTAGTGGAGCAATAAAGTTGTAAAGTGCCTTAAATGAAGCTAGTATAAAATAACATTGGTATAAATCATTGAAAATAGATCAGGCTTGTGCTGTCAAGGGCATCCTTATATTCTGAGAGGAATCAATAAAAACTGTGTCGGGAGCTAAAAGGCCTACAAATGATGCTTTGAATACGGTCAGGTTTGAATAATTCACCCACTGGGACTAATAACGTTGTCTGAGTCTAACCAGCTGTCTTCAAAACAGGAGCTCCTGCCAGAAACTTCAAAGAATTAACTTTTTCCTCAACCTGATACAAAAATAAAGCCCAGTCAGGACTCAGGAGACTAGGCTAGCAAATCTTCAGGACACAATTGAGTTTGGTATTAATTTGTACTCTGAAATTTATAAACACCTGAATATAAAACGTTACCTTACAAACAGTAACATGAGATCCTACTTGGTCATTTTTAGCTGATCCAAGTCTGGTACTGTATTTGTACATTGTGTAGAGATGTGTAGTAGTCTTCCTCAAGGATAAAAAAAGCAGCAAAACACTGAACAGGATACATTTCAGATCAGGTTTAGAAGTGAAATTACTCTATGATAACTAAAAAATGTAGCAGCTACACTATGTACACTTAAAAATGAACAATTTATTATTATTGTACAGTACATTGAATTAAATGCAATGCTATCTCTATCCTTATGGGGACTTTGCATTGACTTTCACTCATTTATTGGTCATTTCTATAGCCTAACCATGATTCCTTATCCTGAACCTAATCTCACAGGTACACACCTGACCCTAAACCTAATCTAAACTAAATTCACATCTTAGTCCTAAACCTAACCCCTGACCCACCAATTTACCCCAGTGGGCTTTTGTCCCCATAAAATACAGTGGGTCCTCACCAGGCTGTGTGTATAGATTAGAAAATGGTCAAAATCGTCTCCATTAGGTAACAAAAACACGCACACACACACGCACACCACCATCTTTCCCTTTTTATCAGCAGGTGATAATAATGAGATAAAATGTTAAGACAAATACTGCATTGCACCCTATCCCACGCAATAATACTGTTTAAAACATCAGTGCGATTTGTTCATGGTCCAGAATAAATGTAATTCATCAAGAACATCTCATCTAAAGAAAGAAAATATACAGCCCCCAACTACTTTAAAACATAGAGATGTCAGGAATGTGTGAATGTGGTGTCAGTTCAATTCAGTTTTATATAGAGTCACAAAAAATGTCGTCTCGGGGTACCGTACTAAAAAAAAAAAATTAATCTAAGGAAGCCAGCAGATTGAAGCATTATCACAGCCTCTCATCCTCACAGGCAGCTGCAAAAATATACTCAATGCTTTAATGTCTCTGGGCCCCTGAGCAAGGCCCTTGACCCACTCAGTTGCTCGCCAGGCACCTCAAAAAATAAAAAATAAAAAAATATATATACAGCGAGTAAAATAAGTATTGAACACGTCAACATTTTTCTCAGTAAATATAATACTAGAGGTACTAATGACGCATGCCTTTTTACACCTCCCTTTCTTCATGTGTTCAATACTTTTTCCCTGTGCCATTCCACATTATTACAAATAACTTCATTTCTGGACATTTATGG